TTAGGTCATTTGAGATTTGTTTCTTTTTTTAATATAGGTGTTTCTTGCTATAAAATTTCCACTTAGAAATACTTTTACTGCATCTCATAGATTTTGGCATGTTTTCTATCTTCACTTTTTAAAAGAAACTTTTAAATTTCCCTCTTAATTTCTTCATTGACTCATTGGTTATGTAGGAGCATGTTGTTTAATTTTCATGTACTTGTAAAGCTTTTGATGCTTTTCCCATTATTGATTTCTAGTTTTATACTATTGTGCTCAGAAAATACACTTGATATGATTTCTGTCTTCTTAAATTTATTAAAGAGTTATTTTTTGGCCTAACATGATCTAGCTTCAAATGTTCTATATGTATTAGTAGTTGAGAAAAATGTGTATCTGACTTTGTTGGATGGAATTTTATGTATATATCTGTTAGATTATTTGGCCTAGAGTACATCTTAAATCTAATATTTCTTAGTTGAATTTTTGGTCTCGATGATCTGTCCATTTCTGAAAGTGGGGTGTTAAAGTCTCTTACAATTATTGTATTTTAGTCTATCTCTCCCTTTAGATCTATTAATGTTTGTTTTATATATTTGCTTTGATATTGGCTTCATATGTATTTATAATGGTTACATCCTCTTGCTGAATTTACCACTTTATCATTATATAATGTCCTTCTTTGTCTTCTTTTACAGTTTTTGATTTAAAGTATATTTTATCTGATTGAAGTATAGCTACTTCTGTTCTCTTTTGGTTCTCATTTGCAATGAATATGTTTTTTCTTTTCAGATTCAGTTTATATGTGTCCTTACAAGTGAAGTGAGTCTTTAGTAGACAGTGTATAATTAGGTTTTGGTGTTTTATACATTTAGCTCTTTATGACTTTTAACTGGAGAATTTAATTAATGTACATTTAAAATAATTATTGGTAGTGAAGAACTCATTACTGTCATTTTGTCAATTGTTTTTTAGTTGTTTTGTACATCCATTTCTCTTTTGTTCCTTCTAACTATCTTCCCTTGTGGTTAAGTGGTTTTTCTCTAGTAGTATATTTTGATTCCTTTCTTTTGATTTTTAGCATTTTTTTGTAGGTTTCTTTCTTTGTGGTTAACATGAGGCTAACTGAAACCATCTTATAGTTATTATAGGTTATTTTAAGCTTATAACAACTTAACCTTCATCACACACAAACTCTACATTTTACTCTCCCCTTCACATTTTGGATTTTTGACAACAGAATTTACATCTTTTTGTCTTGCATATCCTTTAACAAATAATTATATTTATATTAATAGTTCTATTCTCTAACCTCCATACTAAAGATGTGAGTTAAATGCCATTATATTACATGTTAGAGTATTCAGGATTTGGCTGTGTACTTACTGTACTAGTGAGCTTTATACTTTCTGATATTTTTGTGTTACTCATTAGTGTCCTTTTTATTTCCAGCTCAAAATTTCATCTATCAATTCTTTTAAGGCAGAACTCATAGTGATAGACTTAATTTGCCTTTATTTTGGAAACTCTCTGTTTCTCCTTGATTTGTGAAGGACCACTTTTTTTTTTTTCTCATACTTTAAATATTTCCTCCCAGTCTCTCTTGGCCTGTAAGATTTCTACTGAGAGGTCTGCTATTAGGCATAATGGAATGGTCTTATATGTTATTTGCTTCTTTTCCCTTGTTGCTTTCTGGATTCTCTGTTTGTCTTTGATCTTTGACAGTTTGAATATAATATGTCATTGGCTAGTTTTATTTGGATTTAGTCTTATTAGAGATCTTTTACCTCCCTATACCTGTATATTTATATCTTTTTCAAGGTTTAGAAAGTTTAGTGCTCTTATTCTTTTAAGCCTTCTACCCCATTATCTACTCCCTTGAATCCCTGTGATATGTACTTTTGCTTTTTTCATGTTGTCCCATAAATCCTGTAAGCTTTCTTTATTCTGTTTCATTCTTTCTTTTTTCTTTTCTTATTATATATTTCCAACTAATCTGTTTTTGAGTTTACAAATTCTTTTTTATGCTTGATCAATTTTGCTGTTTATGTTCTCTTTTGTGCTTTTAATTTCACTTATTGTATTTTTAGCTCTAGGATTTCTGTTTAATTGTTTAAAAATGATTATCTCTGATAAATTTCTGAGATAAATTTCTGAATTTTTTTGTATTTTCTGGAAGTTCACTAAGCTTTCTTAAAACTTCTATTTTGGATTCTTTTTCAGACAGTTTATACATATTCATCTCTAACATAAGTCACTGGTACCTCATTTATCCTTTGAGTATTATCATTTCTCCCTGATTGTTCTTGATCATTGTGGTCATGTATTGGTGGCTGCACATTGAAGAAGTAGATATTTATTTTTGTCTTTGCAGTCTGGCTTTGTTTGTGAACATCTTTCAATAGTAATTATGTGTAGAATTTCTTAGCATACTATCTGGTGTGGATTACTTCTGCTATTTGAGTGTTAGGGGGTACCCTATGCCCATGGATGTCATTTTCTTTTTTTTTTTTTTGAAACTCAGGAACACCATTTATTTGATTCTGCACCAAATCTCTCAACTTCACCTAACATAAATGTTAGATATCCCACATTACCAAAAAGCCCCTCACCAAGGAAAAACAAGAGTGGTGTCCATCCATCTTCAGTACAGACAGTATCCCATGCAGCTAGGTTTTTCAGGGGTCTCATGTCAAAGAACGATCACCCTGACTGGGGGGGAGGGTCTGCTTTTCTTGACCAAGGCCTTCAAGCCACAGAGCAGCCATAGCAGCACATGGTCTCCTGATACTTCCCACCTGGCCCTGCCACGGCCTGCTTTGCTATGGTTTTCTGGACCCTCTGGATCTCATGGATGAGCAGGGAAAAGGCCACCTCCACACTTTGCTGTGTCTTGGCTGAGGTCTCTATGAAGGTCACCCTTTAGCTCTGGGCAAGGGCTACAGCAGTGGCATGAGCAACTCCAGCGGTGGTCACAGAGTCACATTTGTTTCCCACAAGGACGAGGGGGTAAGGGTCCCAGGCAGCACAGCACAGTCTGGTGTTTTGTGGCTCCCGATTCCGACACAGCATCCCACAGGAATCTTGTAGTCCCTAATACTGGTGCAGCACTGCATGGTACCCAAAGCCCGTAGCTGTATGGACTGACTACTGCTGAGTTTTGTTTGTAACCCAGTGTGGCTTCTGTCAGGTAACAATAATGTGGACCAGAACTCAAATCTTTCTAATATCACCCATGGGATCCTATCTGGTATTTACATGGATATAGTGGCTCAGATATGTGTACTTATCTGGAGTCCAGGTCCATGACAGTTTTACTATGCCAGGTTTGTTGTTAGGGACAAAGAAAATGTTCTACACTCATTTCCCTCTCTTTCCCCTAAGTGGACAGTGTTGTTTTTTATGCTGTGCTACCTGGGGTTGTGGGAAGGGGAAATGTGGGTAACATAAAGCTGTTTTTTTGTGTGTTTTTTTTTTTGTATTGTCTATGTATCATTGTTTAGTATTATGTTATAATTAATTATTGTGCTCTCTCACCTGGTTTCCTCAGTGCTCATGAAGGCGTTTTTCCAAGTGGTTAGTTGTTCAAATTAATGTTTCTGTGAGAGGTAGGAAGACAATTACTGGAGAGTCCCACTTTGCCATCTTTAGTTATTTTATTTTTGTGCTTTCCAGTGTCTATTATAGAGTTATCCTTTGTAATTCCATAAATCTTTATATATTCTTATATTATTTAAATATTTTATTTCATCTTGTTCTTGGGATATATAGGATTATAGACATCCATAGCTCTAGCATTATTATCCAATATTTATGACTTCTTGGATTTAGACATGTGTGAATGAAACTGGTAATTTGAACACAGATGGTGCCCTTGTTTATCTGTAGGTGATACATGATATCTTCAAGAATCAGGAATAGGAATACAACCTTAGTTCAAGAAAGAAGCAGATCTTGTTTTCTGAGATTTATGAAAAATAGTGTTTCATTCAGTGTCCACTGGGGTTTGTTTCCAGGACCCCTCACAGACACCAAAATCTATGGGTGCCCAAGTTTCTTACAGTTGACCTTTCATATCTGTGGGTTCTATGTTTATTGTGTGGATTAAAACCACTGTGGATCAAATCTTTCTGCGGTTGGTTGAATCAGAGGATGTAGAACCCACAGATATAGAAAGCCAAATGTAGTATCTTCATATAGAAATACCTACAGGCCAAATAACATAGGATTTCAATAAATAAAACAAAGTAATACACTATTTGTTTGCAAAGGGGGGAGCTAGCAAAAGCATTATATCTGAAGTTGTGAAAATATCTTTCTAGACCTCAATAACTTTTGATATAATAATGTTATAATAGTAATTAGCTGAGGTATCAAGAAAAATGTAGATAATGTTTGGAATTCTCAGTAATAACATTATCCTATCTAACTCATTTGAATAATTTTCTATGAAAATTTGTTTTCTTTAATTGACTATTTTAAGCTTTAGTTACTTGTAAAGGCTATTTCCTTATCATTTTGTCTACAGTATTTCATAATAGTGAACTGCTATGACTTGTGAAAGTGCTAAAGTACTGCTTAGCAGTTTTCTTAAAATATTTTTTTCTGAACTATTTAGGAGGGCTGGAAAATATTATATGAGCTAATTATACATGTTTAGACAAATATTACACGCACATAATCGGGGTTCATCATTCTTTTCATAGCAATGTCATGTTTTTATAGTTTTCCTAACTTATTTCTGTTTTTTAATCTCATAAAAATTGGTACCATTCCTATAGTAAGCAAATATCTAAGCATTTAAAAATCAACCTTGGTGGATCCAGTATAACAATACAAGATTAAGACTGTAGAAGAGTATAAAATGCTAATGAAAGTTTTCTCTGTAATAAATGTTCAATGTTAAAGTCTCTTATTTTATGAATTTATTTTTGATCTCATAAATAGAACTATATCTTACATTCTTTTTCCTATCTCATATATTATGAGCCTTTTTTTTTTTTTTTTCCCTCTCTTAGCAATCTTCCTGAGCTCTTTTCGGGTGCCATATGAGGAAATCAAAATGATGATATTGGAAGTAGATGAAACTCAGTTGGCAGAGTCTATGATTCAGGTAAACAAACAGGCACAGCTTAAATTCCAATATTTCGTTGCAAGCTTCTCATTAAATAGAAATCTGTAAGTGAAGCAAAATTCTTAACCCAAATCATTCAACTGGAAAATCATTGCTGCATAATTAGTTTTAGCATAACTTCTGCATTGCCAGGAGAGAAAACTGCATCTCCTCTTAACTGCAAACTATATATAATGCTACTAAAATGATTACATTTCAAACATTTTAAGTGACTGTTTCTGAAAAGCAAATTGTTTAAATTTTACATTTTTGTTTTTGTTACAGTTTATGTTAGCAATGTGTTAATTTACATTTGTTTCTTCAGCCCTTTTAGAATTTGTTTTTCTTAGGCTTATAAAGTCATATGATTTGGTACAGAAGATTGAGTTTTCTTTTCATTTAGGCTTACCTTTATTAACAACCCTTACTGGAGTCATTTGTGCTCTTATGAGTACTAGAGTTTGTTTACATCATATTCTGGATTTATTCAGAATTTAGACTATTTTTAAAAAGAGTTCTACCCATAATAATTTTTAATGAATTTCATATTTTTAATGGTGTTATAGTTACTTGCTGAATTCCACATGAAGGATCAATAATGTATATCTTGATAGAATTTAAAGTTGTATAATCAAAACACAAATTATAAGAGAGTATATTCACTTTATTATCTCTTGTTCTGATAATGTATATACTTAGAAAAACTATTTTTACCAATTAAAAGAAACCAGATATTATTTCTTAGTGTCAACAAGCAATTAAAATTATTTGACATTTTAATCCATTAATAAATGATATCTTTATAAGTTCTAAGCTTTTCCTTTCCTTTCTAAATGTGGTGGTAATATAATTTTATTAGTGATTGTGCTGTGAGTCTCTTATACTTGTAAACTAGTTAATTGAACAGCTCTTCTATAAACATATTTTTCTTCTAGCAGTTTCCAATTTTCACTTTTGTTCTTGTTGATTGTGCATGTGACTTCTTGCTGGAAGTAGATTCCAAGTTCCTTTAAAGAAAATTTTTATTACTGGATACATGTTTGTATTTCTTATAATGAATTTGTTAAATATTCACAAAGCAGCTTTTAGCTTGATTACATCAATGTTTGGGTGATCACGTGGATTTTCTTGTCTAGATATGGATAAAATGGTGATTTGCTCTTTAAAATTCATGTCCAAAGTACATTCAGCTCCATATGTTTCTTAATGTATCAATTTTCTATTGCTACTATTCATTCATCACAAACTCAGTGGCTTCAGTTATCTTACATTTCTGTAGAATAAAAGTGTAGCATTGATCTTACTGTACTAAAGTCAACATGTTGGCAGAAAGGGCTGCGTTCTTTCTATAGGATCTGGGAGGGATCCATTTCATTGTCCTCTCAAGCTTCTCTTGGCTGCCTACATCCCATGGCTGGTGAACCTCTTCCTTCCTCTTCCAAGCCAGCAGTGTTGCATCGTTCTGTTCCTTTCTGTCATCATCACATCTCCTCATGCTATTGTTCTTGTCTTCTACTTTTAAGGAATTTTTTATTACATTTGGCATACACAGATAATCCAAGATAATCTCCCTAATTTAAGGTCAGCTGATAGCAAACGCCATTTCATCTGTAACTTTAATTCCCTTTGTTCCGTAACCTAATATTTTCACAGTGTTGGGGATTAGACATACACATCTTTAGGGACAGTTGTCATTTTTCTGCCTACCATACTTAACTAAATATTAAACTAGTCTTATAAATTTAAAACCTAAAAATTTATTGTAAACATACATAAGTTTTTCACATATTCATTAAAAAAGAACTTCCTGCTATTTGAACTCTTATTTTAAATCTTAAAAGTGTGTTCCCAATTTTAACGTGAAGAACTTTCTGTTTTGAACAGGGCATGGAAACAGAGCATTATGTTGTTATAATCATTATTTTGGTTGGCTTTGTTCACAGTTGTTAATTTTATTTTGGCATATCTAGTTTTTTATTCATATATAACAAGTAGTCATCAGCATATCATTTTATGCCATTTTTCTACATTTTTTACCTATTTATCTTTGCCACATCAGTCTTTTATTAATCCATTTTACAAATACTTCATTGTACCTATCATGTTCACTCTATAAGGCTCAATCAGAGTAGACTTCACCTTCTTGGAATTTATAGTTTGGTGACAGAAATGACATTTACATACATAATTATAATATAAGAAGAACAAAGTTTTATTGAGATTGGTTTAGAAATAGAGCATGTGTAGGGTGAGTGAGCTCTGTGTGTATGAGTGAAGGCAAGGATATTTAAAGGTTGAACAGGTGTGGACATAGAAAAGGGCAGGGAAATTGTCGGAGAAACATCATGAAGGGCAGTTCTGACAGTAATAATATTGTGAGCTGTGAGGGAAAAGCTGTGCATATGTGGATCTTAGCAGTATTTGACTTAACAGGAGCTTAGGATTTGTAAAGGGTATAGGAAATTTGGGTAAGGGGAAAGACAAAAAAGGTTGGATCTGCATGCTTACCAATCTTAATAGTATTTCTAGAATAAAATACAAAATTAAGTAAAAAAAATTAAATTTCTGATGAAAGATTAAAATCTAGTTATATATTAACTAAAAATATTCAAAGAGATTTGTTGGTCATCTAAAAGAACACTTAAGAAATTCAGAGGCCCAATATAATATTATAAATAACTCAAGACAATCGAGCTGTCAACTAAAATGGTTAAGAGAAAACAATCATGTCTTTTGGTCTTAGGCAATTCCACTAAGAGAAATTTCTATTTATGTGGGGAAATCATATACTTTTATTGTTTTTATTTAGTTTGATAGTATTAATAGTGAATACTTTTTCTAGGGATGATCTTAAATTGCTACTTTTTTGTTTTATTTTGTTTTTGGCCAGTCAACCAACTTTTTATCCAAAGGTACACAGTGAGTCAATAACTTGTTCTTTGATCTAACTGCTTTTGATATATAACATTCTCTAGCAATATTTTCAACTACTAACACTTATGGGGGACTTCCTCCCAGTAAAAATATATAGCATGATGTATGCTTACCTATAATTTGTACTTGACTTTGCACTTGTATAGAATCTACTGACGAAGTAATTTGGAATTTTGAACACCAACCACTTTTGTTTTCTTAATTTTAAAATTAATACACTAACTTCTTATAACACTATTATAGTTGATTATATTTTGATACAGAGAATCCATATAGACTTTGTCCAAGGGATTGTTTAAATTATGTGAGTTCCATCAGGAAGGCATGAATGTGCATTCCTTTGATCTTTCTTCAAGTGGTTCTCTTGTTTAAGTGTGTGACTTAGGAAGGCTGTGCATGGACAAACAAGATAGAGCAGCCAAATGAGCCTGTGGTTTCTGAACTGCAGATGATGTGGTAAAGAGCTTTTACAGCCATGTGCACTTAAGTTCCTAAAAGGATCTATTTCAATGATTTTTTATGTTCAAAGTATCATCCTGTGTCTTCGGTGCCTTTTTAAATTTTTCTATCACATCAGAAAAGTTACTTTGTCTTTGTTTTAGAGACAACTTCAGATTTTTATTATTAAAACTATATTCCTACTGGTTAAATCTTGAAAGCACTGCCATTAAAATTCCCTTGATTTCTTTTCTATTCTTTCCCTTGCCTTTTAGTAGCAATATGGTGATTTCTTTTGTCCCCCTGAGTGAAGTGTTAAAATATGTTTAGCTTTGCCTAAAATTTCTGACATTTAATTCCCTAAAGCTGAAATGAAATGGATCACATTTATCCAGGTGAGAAAGCTGTTCCTTTGGTATAGGTTGAATTCTCTTTCTCAATTATATAGCTAATCAAATAAACATTCAGTAGTGCTTGATTTGAATATATAATAACTCTGGGATAGAGAAAAGGAAAATTGACTGTGTTCAAGATGCAGGGAGTGTTGCTTAAGGCTTAATACATGGGAGGTTACCTAGAAATAAAACTAAAGATTAACTTCACTGGTTTCCTTTACATAGTTTATAAAATAATTTCATTTTAATTCGAGAAGACATTTAATGAAAATATTTTCTTTTGGTTTTAATTTTTAGAATTTAATAAAGCATCTTCCTGATCAAAAGCAATTGAATTCATTGTCTCAGTTCAAGAGTGAATATAACAACTTATGTGAACCCGAACAGTTTGCTGTTGTGGTAAGTATTGAGTCTCAGAGAGGATTTTTATACTGTGCAAAATAGGTGAAAGAAACTAGAATGTTAAGCTTTTTTACATCATTAAATGTACATGAATAATCACATACATTTACTGTCCATCTTGCTTTTTTCAACCTAAGGATATTCATGAGAAATTATCTTGATTTAAATTATATATTGAAACTCTGGCCTTAAATGAAATTCAAGAGTCTTTTGAAATGTGTATATATAACTTTTTATGTTCTCTATTTAATGTCAGAATGTAAAATGAAAACTGCACTCCTTATGAATAGAGAGTATATTTGTGATTTATTCTAGAGCTAGGTATTCCATCATATTGTAAGCTTCAATTTCTTACTCTGATCACTCACTTGAGTTCATCTCATATTTAGACTATGAAATTAGAAATATAGTTTTTTTCTTGGCAATGATGGTAAAAAATGAATTCATTTAAAAAAAATCTCTGAGGCATCTTGATATGATCATCTTGTTCCAGCCTCCTATTTTATAGAATCTGGGGTCTAAAGAAGGGGAAAGACACGCTAATGGTATACATTAGTTGTATTGCAACTTAAAATCAACATTTTTGTTAATAAGCTTTCTTTTTTTTTTTTCTCCTACCATTAAATTATCATTTCTATGTTTGTTATACTTGGTCATCATAACAGTACTTTAAAGTACTATTGTTTTTCTTTTAAGATTATGTATTTTTTTCCCTTTAATTTTCAGTTATATTACCAATTTTCAAGGCCAGGATAAAAGTGTATGTGATATAATTTTAAAAATTCAGGTTAGCTAACTTAACAGCTATGTCTGTACCCCATATTTGGAGTGTTGTAGCCATTTACTCTTAAATTTCTTCCTGTCTCTTCATAAAGTCTAGTCTACTTATCTCACTTACTCCCAAAGTTAAAAAAACTCCAAGTAGAACAGAAAAAGCTTTTTCTTGTTCACATCTTACAATTTTTATTATAAAACTTTTAAAACTCATTGTCTTTAAAAGAAAAGACTTTTACTTCTTAATTCTCGAGGGTAATTTTTTTTCTCACTTTTTTTTTCACCCTGTATTTCCTTGTTTGCTTTATTTTCTGTTATCTGGTCACTTTATCTTACTCTTGATCCCTATTTAGTACTCTACTTGCCATGTCTTCCATATGAGAATAGGTAAATATAGAAGAATTGGCATTAAAATTGTAAGCACAGACTAGAGTGTTTGTTTTTGCCTATCTTTTTTGACTCCCAAATTAAAATAATACGTAAAAATGTAATGTTGAAATATTTCCCAAGTACATTAAATCTGAAACACATGCAAGTTATATGAAAATATCTATTAACAAGTAACCTTTTATGTTGTATAATATCATAGTAAAGATTAAAGTTATTCCTGTGTTCTAATGATACACAGAAGACCAAGTTCAATTTTGGAGATATTTTAGGTTTATTTAAAATAGCCAAGTTATGCCCTCTTTAGAAAATTTAGAATTTATACCAAAGAGCTACGATATATAGACAGTGTACTTTTAGGAGTCAGAAAGTTATAACAAATATATTCCCAGATACCTGGGCTAGAGGTTATGATCTTGATTTTAATATACATAGGAACCCACTTCCCTTTTAGGACATGTCAACTGAAACTTCACCTGGAATCTAGTCATATGTGTGTACAAATAGAATATAATTTGGAAAAGAGAAATGCTATTGAAAAATATTGCCTAGGGGTAATATGAAAAATGCTGAGTCATCTGTTGATTATGCATACTCTTGAATGCATTTTGTTAAGTTCTACTTTCCGTGCTACTAACATTTTAAAAGGTAATTGTATTTGGTGGAGAAAGAATGAAAGTTGAAAAAAAAATAAATTTTATTATATTATTTTTCCTTTGTCAGATAGTAATGTTCTTCAGTTTCACTTTTTCCATTTCAATTTTTCATCATTCCGATCTGGCTCCCACTATTTCCCAACCCCTATCTCCCAAAAAGAAAAGGGAAACTTGCTTAAAGCACCCAGAATCCTTGATAATTAACCAAGAAAATGTTGGACAAAGAGTGTGGCACAGTGTGGGATGCCTGAAATATTCTGGTCTCCCTTTTGGATTAAAACCTCAATTTTAATTTTGCTAATTCTTTAAAGAGTGATGTGTTTTCAGTTTATCAACATTATATTAATAATACAGTAATTGGATTTTAGGAAGTTGGTTATAATTACTATACATATTTCTATAAGATTTTCATACTTTCATTTTTAAAGTCAGAAACTTTTTGAAATTATGTTTGTTTCAAAGATGGGCTATTAACTTGAGGTAAGCTAAAATGCTGATTTCTACAAGACTTTTATGTCTTAAAAACCCATTTACTGTTTTACTTAGCATAGATTTAAAGTACTTTAATAAGAAATCATCAAGGACTGGGTTAGCTTTAGTTCCTGCCCACCTGTGAATAGAGCCAATGCTTGACTTTGCATTTGTTTTTCACCATAGATAAAATTACACTTAGCTTTGTGTCATCCTTAGGTTGTATAGACTGACAATGTGATTTCTAGCATTTTCATTTTAACAAAAATCCATTTTAACTGTACAGTTATGTTACTTGCTGGTCATTTTAATGTTTTCTTTTATCCCATTATGTAAATTCATTAATTTGGTTCTTAGGAATTACAAATTCCTCAGAAACGCGTGTTTTGCTTAAATATACACTTATACTTTTGGCAACGGATAAATTCACTGAAATTCCTTGCATATTTAATTGACTTTAATTCTCCACAAGAATTATGTTAAAAAAAATATGCGGTTTTACCAGGACATTTATGTTCATTTATGTTATTTTCTCTTTAACAGAAAGGCAGGGTCCAAAAGTAACACATCCAAAATGTTCTTAACCAATGTCAAAGACCAATTAGACTATATCAGAAATAATATGTAAATTAGAAATATGTCTTACTTTTATCATATATCCGTTACATACAACTTTCCAGGGCTCTATGTCCTATGGAGTATGGAATACAAATTTACTGTCAGAATTATTATCCAAGTATCTGTTAAATCATATGTCCTTCCAATCACTAAACATTTTCTCCAAGTTTTCTATAACATTAAATTTCATATCCATATTTATTTATTTCTCAACTGAAACTGGTAGCAAAATTCTTTAATGCTGAAACTAGATTTCTTCCTAATTAAAAGAGTTTTAAATCTAAGTGTAATAGACCTGGATATTTTTATGGTAATAAGGGCTTAGTCATTCATCTGTTATTTATAGTAATATGGTAATTCAGAATCTTAAGGTACCTTTCTGAATTGATTCTCCTTGTGGTCCTAATGACTGGACGTGGGCCCATTTGATCATCACAAGGTATTCTGGAGCTCTGCCCATCCATGTTTGTGTCATAGTGGTGGTGGTAGGTGGGTTGCTACCTGTTAGAATTAAAACCCCATGGTATGAACTCAGGGCCTGAGAGCTTATTGATACCATTGGCTTGTTTTTGTAGTTTATCATATATTTGTATGTCCTCTGTTTTCTAGGAAATTATGGTATATAAAAAGTAACATATCAAAATTTGAACAAGCTGTCATTTAATGTCGAGAGACTAAGTCTTCTGGACAAATAGTATTTTAGAGAAGTGCTCTGGGAGGTGGTCAATCTCTATGTTTTTGTAGTGGCTTGTAATGAATAAGACAATTTATATGCAGTTTTTATTTGCTGTTTAGGTTTTGGGCAAATAACACAGAATACTGCTGATGTACTTAATTTGAAATATTCTTTTCCCTGGACAGTCTAGGACAAAAATTTCTTGTTGAGAGTTTGGTTTATTGAGGGGATACAGTAGCCTCCTCTTTTATTCAACTTAATTTTCTATCAATAGAGTAAGAAACAGAGATATACTTCGTAGAAACTGTTACTAATTGGATCAGTTGCCTCTCTTCTTAAATTTCTTCTTTCCTTCCTCAGCCCCAACATCCCTCATCCATCCTCCCAAAATACTGCCTGCTTAGCAAAGGTTGGTTCTCATGAAGTATAGCCTGACTTTTGTTGTATGACTGCATTTCTTGTATTTTCAGCTTTTCTTTGATCAATAAGCCATTAGGTAAAATCACTGTGCTCACAGTGACATGGTTTAACTGTGTGAGAAATGATTTATGTAAATATTCCATGGGATCAGAAGATTAACTGAAGTTTGGAAAGAGGCCTAAAAATTTGCAATTGAAGCTGGGTATACCAGACTTTCTTTGATTAAAAATTACAGGTTTTTGGGTATTTATCTCCACATTATTTAATTCTGTTAAGTTCCCTGTTCTTAAAGGAATCAAACATTTATAGGAAGATTGGATTAAAACAAATGTCCTGTTTGTGTACTGTATTTTGATCTACCACCATTTGGTGTCACTGTAGGGCAGGGCTTTTAAATTTAAACTTTGTGCAGTTGAGGCCTCCTTTTAATGAAAAATGTTGTACGAAGTTCATGCATAACTCCCTTCATTAAAAATGCCTGATTTTAAATACACTATATATTCTTGTTGTAAAACAAATTATAGAAAAATATTGAATAAATGTCGAAATTACTGTACCCCACTACTCCATGCCATTCCACACAAATGATCATTTTTAACAGTCTGTTGGACTTCCTATTTCTTTGTATTTACCAATGTAAGCATGTTTATATGAACATTTTAAAAAATATATTGTTCTGAAACTTTTTTTGCCATATCAAATATTTTGAAGTTTTTTTTATGTTGTTCTGTTTTTAAATTTCTATGTAGTCTTTCATATCCCATACTAAGATCTTTTCTTTTAATCATTCTCTTAATTAAGGATGGTTAGTTTTTTTCCCCTTAGTGTTTAAAAAATAATAAATAATAATTCCATATACATCTTTATATATATATATCTTTGAAGACACTGTATCATAATATGTATGCTTACGGTCTGAGTTTAAAATCTAGCTGTATTGCTTATTAGCTGTATGATCTTTAGTAGTTATTTATTTTTTTGTATCTCAGTTTCCT